TTCTCTGATCCCCTTTCTTCTTCTCCCTGTTCCTTCTACCCTCTCCCATGATACCCACACTTGCAATTTACTCAGGAGATCTTGTCTTTGTCTACTTCCCATGTAAATTCGATCGATATTGTCTAGTTTCTCTGGGATTGTGAATTCTAGGCTGGTTTTCTTTGCTTTATGTCAAAAGCCACTGATGAGTGAATACATATGATATTTGTCTTTCTGGGTCTGGGTTACCTCACTCAACATGATGTTTTATAGATCCATCCATTTGCTTTCAGTTTTTAAGATGTCACTTTTTTTTCTTCTGTGTAGTACTCCATTGTGTAAATGTACATTTTCCTTATCCATTCTTTGGTCAAGGAGCATTTAGGTTGTTTCCAGGTTCTGGCTATAACTAAAAATGCTGCTATAAACATAGTTGAGCACATCTACTTGTGGTATGATCAAGCATCATTTGGGTATATACCCCAAAGTGGTATTACTGGGTCTTAGAGAAGATTGTTTCCTAATTTTATGAAAAATAGCCATACTGATATCCTTAGGGGCTGTACCAGCTTTCACTACCAATAGAAATACAGGAGTGTTCCCTTTACCCCACATCTTCTCTAACATAAGTTCCCATCAGTGTTTTTGAACTTGGTCATTCTTACAGGTGTAAGATGGAATCTCAAAGTTGTTTTGATTTCCATTTCTCTGATGGCTAAGGATGTTGAGCATTTTATCAATAATCTTTCAGACATTTTAGATTCATTTGCTGAGGAGTTCTCTGTTTAGGTCTACCCCATTTTTAAATTAGATTATATGTTTTTGTTTTTTTTTTTTTGATGACCAATTTCTTGAGTATATTATTGTGATCAGTCCTCACCTTTAATCCCAGCACCGAGGAAACAGAGGCAGGTGTGTCTCTGTAAATTTGAGGCTGGTATATAAAGCTATATCCAGGACAGGTACCAAAGTTACACAGAGAAACTATGTCTTGAAAATAGAAAAAAAAAAAAAAAAGATGGGGCAAACTCTACACTACTGTGAACATAGAATGAAAGAAAAATTATGAGCACTTTCCATATAAATTCTTTTTCTTAAGGAAAAAAAAGAAATAGTTTACATAACAGTTAACATTTTGCCATTTATCATAGCATTTTAAATAAAAGCATAAATAACTTCTTCTAATCTCTAAAGGGTACCTATTATTAATTCATGATTAATATATGTAAGGTCAAATTTCCTAAGTCAAAGTCAAATTAAGCTTGAAAACATCTTACACTTAAAATAAGATAATATAGAATTAAATGAATTCTCCATTCTATGATTGAAATCTCTAAGCCTAAAAGGACATTTTTGTTCTTTAAACCTCCAGGATTAAAGAACACTTATCTCCCTGCTGGAAGTTTGCAGTGGTTATTTGGTTTTGTTTCACACAGGTTTAATTGGTTTGTTTCAGCAATTCTGGGCTGTGAACTAATTTCATACAATATCCAATTGTGAGAGCAAATTTTGTGCTTGGAAAGCTTGGGTATAATCCATTTCCCAGAACTGAAAATACACAGCTTGATTGAGGAACTCTTATGTTACAGGTTGTTCTGTAAATCTTACCCAATTCTGAACAGCATGTGATTTTGCAAGAATCAGCATTTAAAGTCCCCAGCAGCTAGGAGCGTAAACACAGGCAGGTCCTACACTAAAAATATATTAGGCAGCCTTGACATATGGAAAAGCGAGGACAAAAACAAAGCTAGGTTCATAGTTCTTCCCTTTTAAAATTTTTGTTAAAGTTGTACTTTTCTTTTTTGTTTTTAATATGGCCAGGTGTGATAGCCAGTGGCCATGCTTGCCTATGGAAACTGGAACATGGCCAGAAAAAGGTGTTTTTCTTTCTTTTACCTTGTAGGTTCCATGGATTTAACTCAAGTAGTCAGATTCTGTTGCAAGAAAGTTCATTAACGAGTTCAGCCTTCCTGCTGGTCCAGTTAACCTTGCTTTTGGAAGAATGTTGATATTTATCAAAGCAGAAGTGATTTATAAAATGCTTGCCTCTTCTTGGAGGCTTAGGAAAGCATTAGGATAGCATTTCACAAGAGTTTTTAATCAGCCCAGTAGCCAGTGTCTGATGTAGGGAAAAGAAACAATAGCAAATATTGAAGCATATATGTAACAATTTTAATTGATTCAAGTTCTGTTGCATGGGGGAATTCCTTTTAAGTTGACAGACTGTTGAAATTGTTTACTTTTCAGACAGACCCAGGCTACTAGCCAAGCTAAGAATAAAGAGGGAGCTCTGTGTCCACTGAATATCCACGAAACTTCTCACATCTGTTTCTTGATTGTGTGAACTTTGTGAATATCATGAAGTTACACTACATAATGCTTTAAATATTAAATCCCTTCTTCGTCTCTTACTGTGAAGCCCTTGGAACAGTAATGTGGACAGTGCAGCCCAATTCACCAGTAAGAACGAGAACCGCATTTCAATACATAATGATGAAAAATCATATCCAACAATAACAAGAAAATCAGCTGGATCCATGGTATGAGAATTTTAAAACATTAATATTAAATTATCATGTAAACTGCAAGGCGCTTCCTTTTAATATTCAAATTCCACTTAGTGTTTAGATAAACAGCTTGATTTCACTTGTATCATTTCTTAAAATTTAAGAATTCGGTAAAAATTAAATAGATCTGTTTTCTTTATATATAGCTTCAAAAATATCTCAGTAAGTAGTATGAATGTAGAACATTAAAATAAAAGACAAAAACATTGACTTATGACAAAAGAAAAGGTTGAGTTATATTTAATAATATCAACACTGCTTTAGAAATCCTAGCCAATATAATTATATTTCATTTTAATAATACTCATATTTTCATATATAAGGAAATAAATACCTTAGTCTAAATGGTGTTTGAATATAAGACTTATAAGCTAGAATTCAAGGAATAATATTAGAAAATATAATTGAAAAAAGGTCAATCAAACATATTAAACAGTCTTAAACAAATTATTAGAATTTGACTAAAAGATAAAACTGAGAAACCATATCTGTCTTTCTTGTCTAGATAGGTACGTGTCCAGTTAGAGCTTGTTTGTTAATATTCTTCAGTGAGTAGAGACCATAGCAAAGGTTCAAACTGCAGTGTTGGCTAAGTGAAACATCTGGAAAAATGATTAACATTGCATTATTCACTTGATATAACAAGTGCTAAGTCAAGTATGGCAGTTACTAGGACCTGTAACCTCAGCACATAGAGGGCTGACACAGGATAACAGTGAGTTTATGGACAAAGCAGAATGTTAGTGAAAGACCCTCACCCACTGGGTGCAGGCCCAAGAGAGAGAAGTCCCCCGGCCCAATTAACTAGTCCAGCAGATGCAAGAAGCTAGAGAGTTTATTAAGGATCACATGACTGGATGTCTCTAGTCTCCAAAGAGGCAGAGCAACCCCCGAACAGCAATTCCAGCAAGTTTTTATAGGCGAAATCCACAACATTAAAATAATGGATATAAGGTACAAAACAATTGGATACAACATTTAGCATTTTGGATCCGTTTTAGGCCATAGCTATTTGTTCCTTCTATTTCCCAGAAATGCCATAAAAACCCCAAACCCTGTCCTGGAAAGTCCCCAAGCCCTATCATGGGCGCTAGGTGTTTCTTGGCAGGCTGGTGGTGCAGGGTACCATGGTCAGGGTGCACGTTTTGGCAGTCAGGGCTGTTTTGCAAGTTTTGTACTTTTCCACTGCTGATTGTCATCCACCTAGGGCATATGCTTAAAGCAGTTGCAAACAGGCTTTTTGAGTTGGTGTCTTACATTAGAACACCCTATTTTTAAAAATCCAGAACAACAAAAATAAGTCAATTGAATGCTTGTCACATCACTATGAACTAGAAAAGTGAACCCCTTCATTGAATAAAGCAAATTATTTTGATGGAACTTAACTCAATGATAGAGTTGGAACTTCTCTTTTTGACATGGGGGAAGAACTCTCACACTCACATTATACAGGCCACAAAAGGATTTCACAAGTGTATATGTTCCATACACACTCACGGGAAAACAGAAACCAAATACATAAGATCTTACAAATGTCATATAAAGATTATGTGTCAAATTTTATAACCACTTTAGTTTCATACATGCCGTTCTTATGTACCAAACTTTAAAGTCATGGCAATCTCAGTTGTAAGTGATGGGTCATCTTGAAAGTTGCAGGTAAATGGATGAATCTAGAAAACATCATATTGAGTGAGGCAACCAAGACCCAGAAAAACAAATATCTTATGTAGTCCCTCATAAATGACTTTTAGACATAAAGCAAAAAAAAAAAAAAACAGCCTACAATTCACAAGAAGTTAAATAACAAAGAGGACCCTAAGAAAGACATACATGGATAATCTACATAGGAAGTAGAAAAAGACAAGATTTCCTGAGTAAATTGAGAGCATTGGGGACCTTGGGAGAGGGTTGAAGGGGACAGACAGGGAGGGGAGCAGAGAAAAATATACAGCTCAATAAAACAATAAAAAATAATTTTAAAAAGATAACACAAAGCAGAAAAAAAGACAAACCATGATCAAGAAATGCCATAAAAAGAATTATGCCTAAAATAAATTCACTCCCTAAAAAATTTGTAAAAGTTTTCACTAAGTACAGATATTTACATATTTCTCACTTGTTTTACATGAAGTATTTCAGGGACACTCATACCAAAAAGGGGTTTGTATTTCATGATGACCACAAGCTAAATGACTATACCGAACTATGACTTGCAAAAACATTTTTCAAGGACTGTTTGTGTTTTACATTGGGAGGAACCATCAATTATGGCAATCAAATGAACTGCTTGCAACCTTTAAACTTAGCACCAAAGGCCATTAAGTTACAGACCAGTAATTACTTCACATTTTGTAGACTTTATTTCAATGGTTGCTATGAGAATTATTATCTGCAAATGTTTTATAGTGCAGCTCAGCCAGAATGGAGAAAGGCAATCTGTTTAAAACTTACCTTGTGCTACACAAACAGTCCATAACATAAACCAGATAATTCTTGCTGATAGTCTCATGGTTTGGATCTTTCTTGGAGGCAGAGAAGTACAGCACCACCAGTCTCTGTTAAGAACTGTCCTTACTGCAGGGAAAGACTTGCCCCAAAGTGAAGTTGAAAGTCAGCTTAGGAAATCAGGATAACTAAATGATCTGCTCCCCAGCAACTTCTGCAAAGTAAACTAAAAACATAGACTACAAGTTTAGCCGCTTGGGTGTTTGATCCCTGCCCTTGCTGCACCCTGCCTGTGACCTGCTGATTATTATTGTAAATGCCAGTTTGTTTTCTTTGGAAACAAGTTCAGGTTTCTCGGAATGTGAGGAGCAGGGGCTGGTGATCACTTCTGGGTTTCATAACCATGCAAGACAAAGCAGTGAAGGCTCTTTTAAAAATCACTTGGGGAGCTTCAGTTAGGCAGGGCTTTCAGGACCATCACCCAGGGACCAGCCAAGAAACTTCTGTCTTCATTTCTAACTGCTGTGCTCTCCCAGTTTCTAATCAATGTCGCTGTCTCCAAGAACATGGACTCTATTTGTCTGTACTTAGTGTATGTAAGTGGGGGAGAAGCAATTTACTTCTTTGTTTAGTTAGAGTCCTTTACTCAGAAATTTATTTGAGACATAACTTTGCACAGCATGGCTCTTGATTGTTAATTTTTGTTCTATGTAGTATTCAATTTGAATATTGGACAAACTAATTTTAACTATATATATTACAAAACCTAAATGGTCATCCCTAAACACTTATATTGTAGCAACATTAATTAGACCCACTAGATTGTTGGTGTATACATATAGTTCATATAAGATGTTTATTATAGAATAAGAGGTTCAAGATTTAGAGAGGGGCAAGAAAGACATAGGAAGAGTTGGAAGGGGGAGAGATAATTGTAGAAATCATTCAAATTCAGCATATTCATGTATAAAATTTCCAAAAATTCAAATTAAAAATTTGAAAGTAAGGCCTGAACAGTGTCCAAGAGCATCGGGCAGGCCCAAGTGACCTGCAGGAGAAGCTGCTAGACCCAAGCAATCTCTGGAAGCTGCATGCAGGAAAAGGGGCCTCTCTTTCTCATAGGCAGAGATACTATTTTGTAGGCATAGACTGCTGATTTGTTTCACAACCACCAATACCAAAAATCATCATACAGAAACTTTATTAATTACAACATTGTTTGGCCAATTAGCTCATGCATTTTTCTAGATAACTTTTTTTTTTAAAGTATAATAAGGGGTATTTTATTTAAGAGGGACTCACAGAGCCGGGCGATGGTGGTGCATGCCTTTAATCCCAGCACTCGGGAGGCAGAGGCAGGGGGATCTCTGTGAGTTCGAGACCAGCCTGGTCTACAGAGCTAGTTCCAGGACAGGCTCCAAAGCCACAGAGAAACCCTGTCTCGAAAAACCAAAAAAATAAAAATAATAAAAAATAAAAATAAAATAAAAAATAAAAAGAGAAACTCACAGATCATAGTCCTCTGCAAGAACAGGGAATAGGAACTGAATCCAACACTGAGGAGAGAGGAGAGAGAGGGCGGGCATGCGAGCCTAGACCTTTTTAGTACCCCAAACCGTGCTCAACCAACCTCTTAAAGGCCATTGGCTGAAGGAGGTTCCCCATCACCTCCCCCTTTTGTCTAAATTGGAGAGTTCCAAACCTAATACAAAACTATATACAATAAGAACACATATCAAGTATAAAAATTAGAACTAGCATAGACAGTACTAAGCAAGAAACACATGTTAAATGTTTTAATAATTATTTTAACCTAAGGAGTCTAAGTTTCATATCATAAATGGCTTGATTAAGTCATAAGAAGAAAGTAACTACAACTGTCTTTCTTTTTTTTTTTTTTTTTTTTAACGCATTGAAGACCTGAGAAGGGAGATGATATTTTTTGAGTAGACAGCAAGGTAGCAAGTGCAATCAAACAGCTTTCAAAATGTGCAGAAAATGACAGAGAAAACTGGCTACCATTTTTAGAGGCAGGAAAATTGTCAAAATCATATTCTGTCTTGGAAAGGTTTGGCAGTCTTTTTTTTTTTTTTTTTTTTTTTTTTTTTAAATCAGGCTTGTCCAGTCCGGACACAGTGCATTTTGTCAGTGGTCAATACATGGGCAGTTTTTTGCTTAAAGGCCAGTTTTGCAAAGAAGAAAACAAGCTTCAAGTGGAGTGTCAGACGCACATACAAACACACAAACAGACACAGACACAGACACAAAGACACACAAACACAATATGCATTCTTTAAGCATTCAACATACTTCTTTCCCTGTCTAGCCACTCATAGATGCCCTATATTCTAGTGTCCAAATGAATCATAGTATAACTACTCTCACCTGATGGAAGTTTAGTTTATAATATCTTTATTTTTTTGTTTTTGGATTTTCGAGACAGGGTTTCTCCATAGCTTTTTGGTTCCTGCCCTGGAACTAGCTCTTGTAGACCAGGCTGGCCTTGAACTCACAGAGATCCTCCTGCCTTTGCCTCCCAAAGTTTATAATATCTTAAAGTTGCAACAACTAACCTAGTAAATATATTTTGTAGATGTTCTAGTCTATCTGTAAGATAAATTCCTAGAACTTCAATTGTAAGGTCAATGGCTGTGTGTATTTGCTGTCTACTAGACAAGGGTAGTCATTGAAATTGAGCTAATTTCCTCTGCATCAACTGCACATGAAAATATTTCCCCATGTAGTAATCAATATAATAAATCATCACAGTTGTAAGTAGTTCTTACTAATCTGATATGAGAAAAAAATGTTTTCCCAGGGCAATTTGAATTTACTTCTTATTAAAATTAGAATGCTATTCATTTTTAAGTCACTACTAATTATTTTTTGTATTCTTTTCATCAATATTTACCTGGTTTTCTTGCTTCATTTTTTCTTATTTATTTCTAGGAGCTCTTCATATAATTGAAAAGTTTAGACTTTTGTCTGTGATCTAAGTTACAAACATTTTTTTTTTTGCTGACCAAAATTTGATTTTGCTTAAGATATTTTTCTCAGTTAGAAGTTTCATTTATTTTAAGATACCAATCTTTTATTCACTACTCACTGATTTTTAACTAACAATGTAAAATATCTTTTTTACTCTGATATTCTTTTTTCTTTTTTTGTATTTTTTTATTTTTTCCATTCAAAAATTTATACTTCCTCCTCTCCTCCCATTCCCCTCCCCCACTCGTCCTCTCTTCTCCTGCCTCCATTCTTCCCCCTCCCTCCTTAATAGAGGGCAGGGAACCCTGCCCTGTGGGAAGTCTAAGGCCCCCCCCCCCACTATATTCAGGCCTAGGAAGCTTTGCATACAAATAGACTAGGGTCCCAAAAAGCCAGTACATGCAGTAGAAACAAGTCCCAGTGCCTTTATTAATGGATTCTCAGTCAGCTCCCATTGTAAGCCTGATTTGAAGAGTCTGGTTTGATCGCATGGTGTTTCAGTCCTGATCCAACTGGATTTTGGTGAGCTCCCATTAGAAGAGGCACACTGTCTGAGTGGGTGGACCAACTTCCTTGCTCATCTTCTCCCTCCTTCTGCTCTTTAACTAGACCTTGAGAGCTCAGTCCGTTGCTCTGATGAGGGTCACTGTCTCTATCTCCATCCGTGAAGGATGAAGATTCTATGGTGATATTCGAGATAACCATAAATATGATAGTGGGGCAAGGCCAGTTCAGGCACCTTCTGCTCTGCTGCCAAGGACCTAGCTGGGGACATTCCTGTGGACACCTGGGATCCCCTCAAGAGCCAAGTCTCTTGTCAACCCTAAAATGGCTCCTTTAATGTAAATATCTTCTTCCCTGCTCCTATATCTGCCCTTCCTCCATCTCCACCCTCCCACTCCCCAAGCTCTTACATCTTAAATGAACCCATTGCTATTAATCTGTGAATCACCACAAGGCCATGGTCTACCTGTAAGTTTCTGCCTGGAGGTTCACATGTTTTTGCTTTGGCAGCTAAATGACATCTCTCTGATTCCACCTACTCTTCTCTTCTATCTCTTCTTGGAATTCCCACCATATTCTATTTTGTGCTGCCATAGGATCAAGCATCTTCTTTATTAACCGATGGGAAAAAATATTCACACCATACAGAGGAGATCTAACATCTCTCTCTCTCTCTCTTCCTCTCTCCCTTTCTCTCCTTCCCACTTTTGTATCAAATGTATGCTCTCAGTTACTACCTCAATATCATAACGGCCTGCCTGCATGTGGCCAGGCTCCCTGCCATGATAATCATAAACTCTCACCCTGTATAATCATAAGCCCTAAATTAAATGTTTTATCTCATAAGTTATCTTGGACATGATGTACTAGCATAACAATAAATAAGTAACTAATAGAAGTATTCTTGAAAGTTAGATATATAGTTTCTTAAAATCTAAGAGAACCTATTACTAAAATATCAAAATATCTGAAAGAAATTGCAATATGTTCTTAGTAAGGAAGAATATAAAATATTAAAAGCCTAGACATATATAAAAATGAATGCATACAAAGATCAACGTAAAGGAAACTCTGTTTTCTACATCTTTAGACAGCTAAAATCAACAGGCTAGCATATTTATGAAATAGTATGTAGTGGTACACATGCAATCGTAAGTAATTGCAATACATGTTAGTATACATTGTAGCAGAGATTATAAACACTAATGTATCAACATGTTTCAAAAATCAGCTGGAAGGTGGAGAATATCAGGATGGAATACATATCTTTAGCAAGAGAATTACATGTACTCCAAATAACATAATGAAATTCCAAAGGATGGGGTTGTGATATTAATCTATATAGCAGAAATTTATTTCAACATGTATGACTAAAGACAAAAAAAAAGTATTCTTTACTTTAGATGGTGAAGTTATTTCTTTTGGGAGACCAATAGTTATGTAAACGCTATGGCTGTAGAGTAGGACTAAACAAATATTGAAAGATTTGACACCAACTGTTGGAAAATTATTTCAGAGAGCAAAGAGGAAAATCAGAACAAATTATATAGCATTAAATTAAAATTGGAACATTTGTCTGAATTTCTCTTTAATTTTATATAGATATAGATGGGGAATTGTGGAATTTTTATAGATGTGTATTTATTCATACATTGTCATGTTACACATGCATCTCCTAACTCTTGTCAACATCTGTGGCCACATGAATTTGTTATTGTTTATTTGTCACTTTTCCTGGTGCATTTAAGCTGTGATTATAT